GATCTTTCTAGAACTCATTACGTGTCACTAGAGTCACGTGACTTCCGCTGTCGTAACACTGTATTTGAAAGGTAGATTGCCTGATAGATTTTGTTGCCCTGGGCGCCGAAATATTAGTGTCAACCAGTGTTGTCAGTCGCAGTGCATCATTAAAATATACACTAAATTCCTCATGTATATAATTTATCAATGTAATTATTCGCTCAAGTGTTTGGTCTATCATTCTGTAAGCTTGAAGTTTTTGAAATTTAGCTGTAATTGACTTGACACTCTCCAAAACATTTTTAGCAACAAGAAATACAATAATATTTTGGTATGGTGGATGCTCTTGAGAAGTCCCTATGCTTCTACTCTGGTTTATTGTTCCAAAGTCGTGATTAAAAATCAACACTGTAAATTTCTGCATTTGCAGATGGGTCTAAGATTGATTCTAGAAACAAATATATTCAAATATTTCATAAAATGTTTCATAACACGTATGCCGCTCATCCCACCTGGTTTTACACATCCCTACCAACTGTTTTCTTTTCGTATCTGGAACTATATATCCTAGACATCGTTCAAGAAAACGTGGGCGTTGAGGTGAATTATAAACAAAATGAACACAGCATTCAGGGTGTCAATCACATTTCTTATGACAGGTAATTTGCATGCACTGGCTGTAGTTAGGTTGAGCATATTACTGCTACAGTGAACAAATAAAACGAGGAGAATGCTGTCTTATCCTGACCTGCACTCCAACGTTTTCAAAGGACATGCATGACCATCGTAACTCTGAACCAGGGTAATATCAACATTATGTTTTTTTTCAGTGAGTCAAGAATAGCACAATCTATAGTTTCTCCTGTTGCCCTCTCCAGGTAAACAAAGTTAAAAGAGAATTCCTTGATTTTGTTGTCTTCTAACGCCCTTGAGCAAACTGATAAAATTTCCTGGTTGACATTCGGATCTGTAACTTCATTTCCCGAAGAGGGAGACTTTGTTTCCCACAACGAATAACCACTTCCACAACACCTTTTTTAATGTGTAGGTGTTTTTTCATAAATACTTCGATTTTTTGGTTGTTCAGATATGACAGGAATGTTTCGGGTTTTTCATGATGTTGTAATAGTAACAACCCTGTCTGAACTGAATATTTATGATATTCAGGGTTCTGCTGAGCTTCTAAAACCCCATCATTTCTAGTTGCTTTTACAAGGTTTATGAACGCTCTATAAACAAGTACACTAGCATATTTTCGTTTATCGTAAGCAGAAAAGAACAGTACACATAATTTACAAAGTCCACCAATAACAAAAGGGCTATATACCAACCACTCATATTTTTGTTACCATGAACGTTGAAATACAAGTGTTGCTGCTGTTCTGAAGTTTGACCAATAACAAAAGGGCTATATACCAACCACTCATATTTTTGTTACCATGAACGTTGAAATACAAGTGTTGCTGCTGTTCTGAAGTTTGCTGGTGAAGCGGCACACAGTTAATTCTGTGTATACTTGGCACTCGGGCAGAAGGGGATTGCAACTTGTAAGCACAAGACTGAAGTGGTCATACCCTCAGAAGCAGGCTGTATGCAATAATATTACTAGATAGAATGGGTCACAAAAGATGTGTGCATCTCTAGGACAAATAGAGGGATCTCACTGCCTGAATCATAGATGTTGTAGAACCCATAATGTTGTCACACGCGTTCCAAATCCACGTGGAGTGTCCTGAGATAGGTGGAGCACCCAGTACACACAGTTATACAGGCAGAGTACATACAGCTCTCTTTTGCTAGTTGGACTAAGGTCATGCAAGGTGACCCACTACTTCTTTCTGCCTTCCCGACGGTGGGGAGGGGAGAGAGGATTAACGCCTAACTTACTCCTGCTAATCCTCTCACTGTTATCTGAACCCTGTACACCTGGCTTATTTCTTTAAAAACTTGACCTATATATTTACGACTGCTTGTGACACTATTCCTGAGAATGCGAGAGAGGGTACAGCGTCATATTTTACACATATATCAAAAATGCCAGTGTCTCAGAAGGACTCATTTGAGCTAGTCTTTAACTCTCCCTTTGCTTACATTTCCATAGATTTTTAAAAGGAAAAAAAAGGAGGGTCCGGATCCCCCCCTCTAAGTCCGCCATTATGAGTAGGAGGTAGTTGCTAAGTGTGAATATATATATATAAAGCAGGAAAGAGGGGCATGATTCAAATTGTTATAGCTTTATTTCGAAGTAATATCACACCCAATACCAACTAATCTTGTGTGATGTTTTGGTTTAGAAGAGGGCGCTGTATCGTTCCTTTCCATGTGCATTGCGTAGAAATATGTCCTTTTAGTTTGGTTGATGTAATACCAGGACACTTGGTTAGTTAAGTCTAAAGACTTGGATAGAAAGAGACATTTTCTTACAGTGATTTGAAATCATGGATCATCAAAACGCTGGGTATTTAAATGTTTATGGTCCACCGAGCGCTTCGGCACAATTTCCGTGTAAGTTGTAGGTAGAATTAGTCTTAATTTCACTCTTGTTTCAGCTAAATTCATGGTATATATATTTTAATATTAACTTTAAATGCTGTTAGTATTACTATCAGCATATTAACTTCAGATAGTATTATAAAATAATGACGTAATCTCCATTTTTAACGCTAGTAGTGAGAAGTACTAGTAGAATAAGTTTACATTTTAGTTTTACAATTGAAACCAGTTGATGTTCAGTTAAAATTGAAATACATGTGAACTGTGATATACATATAAATTACGAGCAATATGTTTATGTATGTATATAGGATACAACTTGTACCTGAACTCAGTGAAGTACGTCAAATCTAAACTGACTCTTCTTTGATTTTTTTACTTTGATCACTTCTATTATTAACCTTGCTAGTTTCACATATTTTATTTAGCTTTGCATACAGCTCCTACTAAAAAATAGTCTTGTCAGAATTTTTCATAGGGAATGTCCTTGACCAGCCAAAACTTTGATTTCTACATCCTTGCCAGTAGTTGCTATGCAATATTTGAATTTGAATTCTAGAAGTTATAATTGGATTTACTTTACTACTGGGTATAGTATGCCTGCCTGTACTTTTATAGGCTTTATAATTGTGTGGCACTTTTGTGATTAGTTGGATGACAACCAGTCAAAAGTGTGAGCTATGAGTACATGATTGTACTTAAGGGTGGCATTCTCTTGTATTTTCATTTTATACCATTTTTCCTCACTGTTTTATAATTTTTTTTAATACTGTTTGTGCATGATGTTTTTCTCTTCTAGTGTGTTATGTTGCTTTAATTATTATTTTTCACTATATTTTGGAGACTTCTGTAATGAACTTGGAAAGGTAAAAATAAACTGGTACCTATAGTTTTATGTACAAAAAACAATGTATATATAATATTTTCATATAAGTGACAAATAATTTTTTCATAATCATTGTACATGATAGTTCATATTGTTATGTTGATTTTTTTTTTTCTGACAGAAATTGGGAAAAATAAGTTTAATTTTTAGTTTAATATTTTTTGTGGACTGCATTTACTTTATATCTTGGGGTGAAGATTTCAGTACAAAGACCATAATAAAATTTGCTTATTGAATTTGTTGTCCGATTGACATATAAGCAATGAAGGGCCATTTGGTCCTTCAAGGTTGTCTTTGCACTCCTACCTTTAAGAAAAATAAAATTTTAAACCCACACTTTATTTTTTCTGGAAATCATCAATTCCTCCTTTAAACTGTTAAATGCCATCATTCTTTACTGCTGATGGCATCTTGTTCCATCAGTTTGTGACCCTGTTAGAAAAAAAGAAGTTTTCTTGTATTTTTTAAATCTTTAACTTGTGTAACATACCATTCAGTTTATAATGACAATGATCTTCCATGTATGTATATATATATATATATATATATGATCAAGATTAGTCATTCAGTTAACATCTTCACCATGATTATCACCAAACTTTATGGTGTTTCTGCCTCTCAGAGATACCCGCATTT